GGACCTGGTCCCCAGGGAACCCCTGCCTAGAGAGCCCAAGACCTTCACCCACATCCCATGGTGGTGGCGAGGAGCTGAGAGACAGGAACACAACCAAAGAGCGACGGTCTGGGAAAAGCAATAGCGAGCCCAGAAGACAAAGAGGAGAAGAAGAGAAAGAAGAGTGGGGCAAGGCGGTTGCAGCTCACCTTGTTCAGCAAGGAGGAGAAGGCGAGAGAAGTGGATGAGGGACTGTGCTGTGGCACTGGCTTTTATACTGGCCCAGACCGCCCCAGGCCCAGAGGCGCGCCTTGAGCATGTAATGTGTTTACCAACAAGCTCATATTTTATGGAAAGCAGCACAATTAAAGAAATGGGGTGGTTGTTTACCTTCCTGCAACTCTGCCTTTTCATTTCCCTGTCCATGACTGGTCCCTTCAGCCACACGGGCTCCTTTCAAGTGACAGCATTAGAGGCCAAAATGTTTCCGGGGAAATGACACAGCACTGAAGGAAGAAGATGAAGGCAAGGAGAAGGACATGGCCAATCTGGTCAGGTGATGCCAGCCTTGCACCCTCCCAGGCTTTCTTCTGAGGCTTTCTCCTAACATCTGTGACCTCATTTCCTTCCAAACCCGTCACTCAAGTCACACTTCCAACACGGTTCCTCTGCGAGGACCAGCCACGTCCCCAGCTTTACCTACAGAGCTGCTCAGGCTGTGTCAGGCACCAGCAATCCAAGAGTGTCAGCTCTGCCCTTCTGCAGCAGATGTCAGGATCTGCCCAGAAGTGCATGACAGGGGGAAGACTCAATGCTCTGCACAGCATTTCCTGGGGCAGAGGAGGAGCTGAATGTCCCCAGGAGGAATGACAGTCCTGCTTGGGGCACCAGCCGCATGCCTCTGACACCACAGCTGGCTCCTCTGTGCAAAGGGGGACAAATTCCCTTCCCAAATTATAATAGGACTCCCCCAGAGAAAGGCAAATCTCTAATCACAGAGGCCCAGGCCACATTCCTCATTTCAGATGATGAAGAGAGCCTAGATGCCGGACTGTGTTAACCTGATGATGACAGTAAAAGTCCATCCAAACAGAAGTGTTGTCAGGGCTCATTGTGAGCCAGTTGCTCCCTGCTGGTTGAGCCAGGAGATGAGTATTATTACCAGCCAGGAGGGCAGCAGCCTCACCAGCAACGGCCCTGGTGACAATGCCCAAGCAAAAACATGCAGAGACAGAAGTCCGGTGCTTCCCAGAGTCCAGCTGATCTCTCAGGTTCATGGTGATGAAGCAGAACAGACATCCAGCAGGGCAGTCAGCCTACGGGACAGTAGCAGATCCACGGATGGGAACCCTGGTGAACAGAGCCCACTGATTGCTCTCCAGGGCCATAATAATGCGACAGACCCAAGGGGAAGCTGGGAATTGGATGGGCAGCTCTGGGCCTCAGTCAACAGGACCCAACAGGTCCGGCATAAGGAAAGCTGCAAGATCAGAAGGCATACACTCCTGCCACCAAGCTGAAGGAAGGTCTAAGGGCTCAGGACAGAGCTCAGATAGGGCCCTGGGTCAAAGGGGAGAGGCAGGAGACACACACTGCAGCTGAGGCTCTAAAGGGCCGTTGGACCTGCTGTTCCTGCACTCAGGCCACTGATGGGCAAGCAGAGGGTATCTCCTGTGCACCCGGGACACAGGGCACCTCCTCTATCCATCACCACAATGCAGGGAGAGGACTTCTTCCTTCAGGAGAAGAAGCTTATGTTCATATCATAAGTGCAAAAATCTGTCTTTTCTGATTATGGCTCCTTTCAATTACATCCCGGGCACAGAAAATCCACAGGAGGAGTCTCCCACCAGACCTTGATACCTCCACAATACGTGCATATGGCAAGGGTCTGCCTCGACATCTCCAAAGCCCTGCTGTGCCCAGCTCCCTCCAATCATGTGCCACAGGTGCTGCCTGCCCTCCCTGGTACCATCTTTTCACCCATCCATGCTTCTGCTGCCATCTCCCTGTGGCTCAGGAGTGCTGATGGAGGGAGCATTTCCCCGCGGCCTTCCTGCACAGCGGGCACAGGGGGGTTGCTGACAGCAACTCTTGCAGGGAAGACAAAGCTTTAGCTATGGGGAAAGCAGCGTAGGGGTTCCCACGGTGTATGGGACAGCAGAATAGGGGCCCCTCACTCTACGTGAAGCAAGGCTGAGGGGCATTGGGCAAAACATCACCTGTGGAGCACTAGAGCTTGTGGGAGGAAGGGATAGGCAGCTTGGCCCCTGTGGAAGGAACAACCACCATGTCCCAGTGGGCTTTACCACACCAAGTACCTCCCAGCTCCACGCACAGGCAAATGAAACTTCGCTCCATGATGTGGGTGGCCTTGCCGTCCAGGGCAGGAATGCAGGAAAAATCAAGGGCTGCAGCCTCAAAAATTTCTTTCTGTCCTTCCTCCAGTGATCAGAGGACAGAGAGGGACTTGCTAAATGGCCTCACCTCAGTGTCATGGGCCACTGGCTAGCTGATTTCCCAAGCAGCAGTTGTGCAGCTCAGCGAATGTTGATGAGCACTTCCAAAAGAGTTCTGGGGTCAGAAGTGTTACAGTTCCTTGGACATCTCTCAACACACCAGAGATGTCTCAGAGCCATGGAAAGCACCTCAGGGGTTGCTAAGAAACACAAAATCTGTTGTTCAGGCTAAAAGGATGAGGGTGACTTTGGGAAGACTACATCCCATGTACAGAACACTGCAGTCCTGGTAACCATTTCACATAGACAGAGGCTTCCAATACCCAAACAATGAGGTAAAAGCAACACAGCCCTTCAGCCACCCCCTTCCGAGCAAGGCATCCCATTTCCACCTGGACTCTTTGGCAGGGCATCCCAGAAGGAAAGGAACACAAGGAAACATGAAACTACAATGCAGCATAAATTTTAATGAGTCTAAAGAGAGAAACCAAGCAGTGCATGTTGGAGGGACCCCGGTCAGGCTGCTACAAGGGCATCTGACAGTCAGGAACCCATTCACAGCCATGGGACACACATCTTCCTCCACACACATGGGGAGATGGGGATAGGAAGGGCCCCTCTCTGCTTGCCTCTGCATGAAGCCATGGCACAGGAGAGCAGGAGACAACAGGGACTCATGATGTGGAGAAGAAAGCAGGAGAAGCAGAAGACATCAGCTGGCCGTGTTCCCAGCCAGCACAGGCTGGCACCTTGCTTCCCTCCCTCGTCTGCAGGAGGGCACGAGGGTGCTCAGCCCCTCTGGAAACTCTGGCCAGCAGCTCCATCCTCAGTCCGGCACCTGGCTTTGGGTTCCTGGTCGATGCACTCACGGGACGTCCAGCCCGGCTCTAGCAGGGCAGGCACCTTCTGCCAGAGTAGCGGCCACCAATGCCAGAGAGGCCAAAGCCCCCGGAGTTGATGGGCACTCCCTCCTCACTCAGGATGCTGCCAACAGCAGCGGAGGTGGTGGATCCCACGGCGGTGTTCTGGGGGAAGGAGCTGAGGATGGGGCCGGGCAGGGTCACCACCACGGGAGAGGGCTGGATCACCACGCGGGAGTCCTGGCACTGCCTGACGCAGGGCTCGTTGCAGCTGTTGGCAAGCGGGGTTGGGCCACAGGGACGGCACAGATCGTAGCAGGACATGGCGGCGGGTCGGAGGTGCACCTGGGAGAGAGGGCAGGGAAAGCACAGGCAGCATGTGAGGCACCGCCTGAGAGCCGGCTCGCCAGCAGAAAAGGCACAGCCTGGGGAGCAGGGACAGCCTGCACAGGGAGCAAGGGAGAGTCAAGGGACCTGGTCCCCAGGGAACCCCTGCCTAGAGAGCCCAAGACCTTCACCCACATCCCATGGTGGTGGCGAGGAGCTGAGAGACAGGAACACAACCAAAGAGCGACGGTCTGGGAAAAGCAATAGCGAGCCCAGAAGACAAAGAGGAGAAGAAGAGAAAGAAGAGTGGGGCAAGGCGGTTGCAGCTCACCTTGTTCAGCAAGGAGGAGAAGGCGAGAGAAGTGGATGAGGGACTGTGCTGTGGCACTGGCTTTTATACTGGCCCAGACCGCCCCAGGCCCAGAGGCGCGCCTTGAGCATGTAATGTGTTTACCAACAAGCTCATATTTTATGGAAAGCAGCACAATTAAAGAAATGGGGTGGTTGTTTACCTTCCTGCAACTCTGCCTTTTCATTTCCCTGTCCATGACTGGTCCCTTCAGCCACACGGGCTCCTTTCAAGTGACAGCATTAGAGGCCAAAATGTTTCCGGGAAAATGACACAGCACTGAAGGAAGAAGATGAAGGCAAGGAGAAGGACATGGCCAATCTGGTCAGGTGATGCCAGCCTTGCACCCTCCCAGGCTTTCTTCTGAGGTTTTCTTCTAACATCTGTGACCTCATTTCCTTCCAAACCCGTCACTCAAGTCACACTTCCAACACGGTTCCTCTGCAAGGACCAGCCACGTCCCCAGCTTTACCTACAGAGCTGCTCAGGCTGTGTCAGGCACCAGCAATCCAAGAGTGTCAGCTCTGCCCTTCCGTGAGATGGAGCACTGCTCTTCAGAGAAAAAAGCCTGGCTCTTTTCCCTCTCCCCCCCATCAGCAGCAACTAGAGGTCCCCAGCCACCAGCACACATGGGTTTCAGAAAGAAGGATGCTGCTCTGACGTGAACACTTATTTATTGCTTCACCGCTCCTGTTAAACTGAGATGGCAAGTTCCCCTCTCCAAACAAAGGCAGGTGCTGGGCACCAAACACATCTGCTTTCCTCCTGCCCGTTGTCCTTGATTCAGCTTCTGCTTTGGCTCCACGTACTGATGGGAGAGCACACACATCTCCAAACACCCGGCGAGATTTCCATGCCACAGATCCCCCTCCACAGAAACACGCAAAGGGCTGGCAGCGCCAGCAAGGACAGTCTGGAGAGCAGCAGATGTCAGGATCTTCCCAGGGGTGCATGCCAGGGGGAAGACTCAATGCTCTGCACAGCATTTCCTGGGGCAGAGGATTAGCTGAATGTCCCCAGGAGGAATGACAGTCCTGCTTGGGGCACCAGCCACATGCCTCTGACACCACAGCTGGCTCCTCTGTGCAATGGGGGACAAATTCCCTTCCAAATTATAATGGGACTCCCCCAGAAAAAGGCAAATCTCTAATCACAGAGGCCCAGGCCACATTCCTCATTTCAGATGATGAAGAGAGCCTAGAAGCCGCACTGTGTTAACCTGGTGATGACAGTAAAAGTCCATCCAAAGAGAAATGCTGTCAGGGCTCATTGTGACAGTTCCAGCACCCTGCTGCACCCAGATCCCTCTGGTCACGTACCCCAGGTGCTGCCTGCCCTCCCTGGTTCCATGTTTTCACCCATCCATGCTTCTGCTGCCATCTCCCTGTGGCTCAGGAGTGCTGATGGAGGGAGCATTTCCCCGGGGCCTTCCTGCACAGCGGGCACAGGGGGGTTGCTGAGAGCAGCTCTCGCAGGGAAGACAAAGCTTTAGCTATGGGGAAAGGCAGTGTAGGGGTTCCCACGGTGTATGGGACAGCAGAAGAGGCGCACCTCACTCTATGTGAACCAGGGCTGGGGGCATGGGGATAAAAACATCACCTGTGGAGGACTAGAGCATGTGGGTGGAAGGGACAGTGCTCCTCTGCTACATCCCCTGTGGCAGCAGCAACCACTGCATCCCAGCGCAGCAGACCTCACCTGCTACCTGCCAACTCCATGCCCAATCTAACTGTCACTTTCTTTCTTGGTATCGATCATTGTGCAGTGCAGGGGCGAAGGGCAGGGAGAAACAATGGCCTGACTCTGGAGAGTTTCTTTCCTTCACTCCACTGCTGATGAGAGGACAGAGAAGGATTTGCTAAATACCCTCAGCTCAGTGCCACGGGCCACAGGCCATACAAACACACAAGCAGTGACTGTGCTGCAAACATTGATGAGTACTTCCAGAGCCTTCTGGGGGCTACAGTGAGATGGTTTGGGGGGAGAGGTAGAAGGCTGTTGGCACTTGGGCATCCGTTAAATGTCTTAGAGCAATGAAATACATTGCAAGGCTTTTCTGAGAGACACAAATAGTCTCATTTTCAGGAGACATTGATGTGGGTGGCTCTCAGAAGGCCATGTCACATGTGAAGAGCAGCCCCATCCAGGTGAACAATTCATTGCTATTCGCCTCATCCAAAGCCCCCAGGGAACATAGGAGTCCACCACAAACATTCAGCCCCATCTTTGCACTCTATAACGTCTCATTTCACCCTGAATGTTTTCACTGGGCATCCCAGGAGGGAAGGAACACAAGGAGACATTAAACTACAATGCAGCATAAATTTTATTGAGTCTAAAGAGAGAAACGAAGCAGAACATGCTGGGAGGGACCCCAGCCAGGCTGCTACAAGGGCACCTGACAGTCAGGAAACCCTTCAGAGCCATGGGACACACATCTTCCTCCACATACATGGGGAGATGGGGATAAGAAGGGCCCCTCTCTGCTTGCCTCTGCATGAAGCCATGGCACAGGAGAGCAGGAGACAACAGGGACTCATGATGTGGAGAAGAAAGCAGGAGAAGCAGAAGACATCAGCTGGCCGTGTTCCCAGCCAGCACAGGCTGGCACCTTGCTTCCCTCCCTCGTCTGCAGGAGGGCACGAGGGTGCTCAGCCCCTCTGGAAACTCTGGCCAGCAGCTCCATCCTCAGTCCGGCACCTGGCTTTGGGTTCCTGGTCGATGCACTCACGGGACGTCCAGCCCGGCTCTAGCAGGGCAGGCACCTTCTGCCAGAGTAGCGGCCACCAATGCCAGAGAGGCCAAAGCCCCCGGAGTTGATGGGCACTCCCTCCTCACTCAGGATGCTGCCAACAGCAGCGGAGGTGGTGGATCCCACGGCGGTGTTCTGGGGGAAGGAGCTGAGGATGGGGCCGGGCAGGGTCACCACCACGGGAGAGGGCTGGATCACCACGCGGGAGTCCTGGCACTGCCTGACGCAGGGCTCGTTGCAGCTGTTGGCAAGCGGGGTTGGGCCACAGGGACGGCACAGATCGTAGCAGGACATGGCGGCGGGTCGGAGGTGCACCTGGGAGAGAGGGCAGGGAAAGCACAGGCAGCATGTGAGGCACCGCCTGAGAGCCGGCTCGCCAGCAGAAAAGGCACAGCCTGGGGAGCAGGGACAGCCTGCACAGGGAGCAAGGGAGAGTCAAGGGACCTGGTCCCCAGGGAACCCCTGCCTAGAGAGCCCAAGACCTTCACCCACATCCCATGGTGGTGGCGAGGAGCTGAGAGACAGGAACACAACCAAAGAGCGACGGTCTGGGAAAAGCAATAGCGAGCCCAGAAGACAAAGAGGAGAAGAAGAGAAAGAAGAGTGGGGCAAGGCGGTTGCAGCTCACCTTGTTCAGCAAGGAGGAGAAGGCGAGAGAAGTGGATGAGGGACTGTGCTGTGGCACTGGCTTTTATACTCGCCCAGACCGCCCCAGGCCCAGAGGCGCCATTTGTCTATAAGTTGTTGTCAACAATTTCATATTTGATGGTAAACATCCCACTTAAGTGAATGGGTTTCAGTGTTTACATTCCCTGCAACGCTGCCTTTTCATTTCCCTGTCCATCACAGTCCCCTTCAGCCACACGAGCTCCTTTCAAGTGACAGTAGTAGAGGACAAAACGTCTCTAGTAGAATTGACAACAAAATTCGGGCAGACATTTCAGCCAACTGGGTGGAGTGGTGCCTTATTTTCAGGTGATGTCAGCATCTCTATGCTCCTGAGGCCTGCTTTTAGCCTTTGATGTAATGAATGCAGATTTTTTCATTATAAACCTAAGATTAAAGGTCAGTCTTTTTCATGCAGGACTGGCCAAATCCATTGCTCTCTGTGGTTCCGAGTCCTTTTATGCTTTGTTTAGTATCTTTTTTTTTTTTTTTGTGACGGAGACTATACTGTTGGGGTTTTGAACTTACTTTTGTATCTCTTACTGCCCTTAGAACAAATCAGACGGTTTTGCCTCTCACTTTTTTCAGCATTGCCTAGAGTTCCGCAGTCACCAGTACAAGAATGTTTCAGAAAGGATGACATTGGTTTCCCACAAGGAAGTGTTAGTTACCCACTGCTGTGATCTTGCAGAAACAGCTCCCTTATAACAACCTCTCATGGATTCAAACCTCTTCCTTCTTCCATTCCCCATGTCCATACCTCAGCTTCTTTGGCCTTACGTGCTGATGGGAGAGCACATATTGCTCCAAACACTCAGCGACATTTCCACGCACATATCACCCTTTGCAGAAGCGAGGGTTGGCGGCGCCAGCAAGGGCAGTCTGGAGAGCAGCCGATGTCGGGATCTGCCCAGGTGTGCATGCCAGGGGGAAGACTCCATGCTCTGCACAGCATTTCCTGGGGCAGAGGAGGAGCTGAATGTCCCCAGGAGGAATGACAGTCCTGCTTGGGGCACCAGCCGCATGCCTCTGACACCACAGGTGGCTCCTCTGTGCAATGGGGGACAAATGTCCTTCTCAAATTATGTTGGGACTCCCCCAGAGAAAGGCAAATCTCTAATCACAGAGGCCCAGGCCGCATTCTTCATTCAGGAAGATTAAGGGAGCCTTTAGTTTGACAGGAGATAATGATCTAAGCATATATACATGCAGAAGAATTCCCCAGTGTGGCTGCAACAAGAAGCCCTGAGTCTAATGGAAATATTTCCTTCAAACATAAACATGTTTTCATTACCCTCAAACCGTACTGAGCACCAGTTTTATATCCTTGGCTATTCATCCTAAAATCAGAACATTTATTGCAGAGAAGACCTTTCCTACCGTGTCTCCATTGCACCTGACTCAGCTCCCCATACTGAGGGCCTACATAAAGGTTTAAGCATTCTGACACACCCTGCACCCTCTGGGTACGTACTGAGGATGTTTCCTTCCTTCCCTGGTTTGATCTTGACCTTGCTTCTGCTAATGATTCAGCATGGCTTAACAATCCTGGATGAGAGTGTAATTCTACAGGGTCTCAAGGCAGATC